TCTCTCTCTCTCTCTCTATGTCGTGTGTGCCTTAGCTGACTCGACAGATCATCACATGGAACGACTACGGCGAATCGCATTACATCGGCCCCGTCTACGAGGCAGGCATTCCGGAGGGCGCCTCTCGATACGTGAACAACAACCCACACGACTCGTGGCGAACCCTGCTTCCGTACTACATCGACGCCTACAAATCGGGCAACCAGAGCACGACGACTCCTGAGGAGGACATCATCACGTACTGGTACCGCCCGAACCCCAGCAGCGCGGGCAGCGCGGGCGGCACGACGGGCAACAACCCGGCGATGGGGCAGCCCGTCATGGCACCGGGAAAAGTGTCACAGGACAAGGTCTTTGTGACGGTCCTCGTGCAGGAACCCAGCCAGGTGACGGTGCAGATCGGCTCAGAGGGCACACCGACGACGCTGGACGCCAACCATGCGGGCATCAACCACTTCTCGGTGCCGTTCAACGGGCAGACGGGCCCTGTGTCGTTGGCCATTGTGCGGGATGGAAAGACGGTGGTGTCGACGACGGGGCCGGCCATTACGACAGAGTGTACGGATGGTCTCGTCAATTGGAATGCGATTGTTGGGTCGGCGAAGCCGAGCAATACGACGGTTGACAAGACGGTCTAGTCGACTATCAATACATTCATTTACCCCGACTGATCCATTTGCTGGCGAGTTATTGGTTATCACATCACTTGAAAATTACACGACCTTGCAAGCTCAAGGTATCAGCTGTTTATTTTTATTCTCTTCACCTTTTTTTACTTTTTTTACTCTTCGCTACACGACACGACTGGATTGTCTCGTGTCAGTTTCATTTCAGTTTCAGTTTCTTTTCAACCTCTTTTCAGTTCAGTTGGAATGCCTAGATAAATAGACTTCCGTTCTCATCCTCATCCTCATTCTCATTCTCGTTTTTCTGATTCCTCCTTCATTCATTCATTCATTTATTCATTGCCAAATTCCACGATCCTTGGACAGATGAATGAATACGGATATGAGTATGAGCATGAATATGAGGCATGTTACGATGCAGGTCTACTTTTTTAAAAAAAAAAGAAAAAATACAGAGCCTGACGAATGGCCCTGTCTCCAAGACTTATTCAGCGCTAGCTACAGGATAGCATTTAAAAATAGTCTTGTATATACTTTTTTGGAAGTGCTTTTTTTTTGTTTTGGAATAATATAGTGGAGAGAATAAAAAAGTAGATAGAATTCCTCTGGAATTTTTGTTTCAATCTGCTATGGATATTTATTATATTTCACATATCCTGCCGGATGAAAGGAAGAACACCAAAATCAGCACCTACAAAAAACACGTCTTTTTAACGCGTCATTCAACTCAGAGAGGCCCCTAGGCCCCGAGAAACCACCATGGAACCCCCCGATCTCCATGGTGGTGGTGTTATTCACGCGTCACCCCCGGCAAACGGCCACGCGGCAAGCCAGCTCACGGAGATCCTGGAGGTACCAGACACCCCAACCCCAAGCCGATGGAATATTCCAGGGCCCCTAGGGCTGGTTATGAATGAGACCGAGCAGGAAAATGATCAAGGAAACCATGAAGAA